TGTGAGCATCGTGGGCGGCGTGGGCGACGCAGGCGATGTTGGCGACATCTCCGAGGACAGCGACGGCTCGCTGCCGGCATCGCCGAACCACCACCCGGGCATGTCGCAGGACGACGACTTTGGGCAGGACCAGGTCACCGTCTGCAAGTGGGAGGGCTGCGAGGCCGGTGACGTGGAGAACATGGACAACCTGGTCGAGCACCTTCACGACGACCATATCGGCACGCGCCAGAAGAAGTATAGCTGCGAGTGGAGCGACTGCACCCGCAAGGGCATCCCTCACGCGAGCGGCTATGCTCTGCGCGCCCATATGCGCAGCCACACGCGAGAGAAGCCCTTCTACTGCACCCTACCCGGTACGCCGCCTCGATAACCTTTGGCTATGAAGCCTCCACCACCACAAGCTAACCTGGCCCAGAATGCGATCGCTCCTTCACCCGCTCCGACGCCCTCGCAAAGCACATGCGAACCGTCCATGAGACCGAAGCTCTGCGGCCCTCGGACCCCGTCCCTAAGCACCACTCGTCCAATCCATCGAACAAATTCCAGCGCATCAAGCTCGTCCTTTCCAACGAAGCCAAGCGGCCATCGGAATCAAAGGCCAGCACGCCCGCCTCGCCCTCATCGCTGCACCCACCACCTGCCGCTGCGTCTGCAATTGCCTCTGCATCTACACCGCATCCGCCCGACGCCGACCACGCCCATAACAACATCACATACATTCAGGACCTCGCCTCCCCCGGCGCGCCCACCATGGTGCAGTTCCCGCCCGACATCTCCCTCACGCCTGCCGAACTATCGCTGCCCGCCGACGCCCTGTTCCACGCGCTGCGACGCACGCTGCAGTACGCGACCGAGGAAGGTGAGGCACTGCGCCTGGAAGCCGAAGCCCTCGAGAAGCAGCGCAAAGCCGAGTGGGCCGCCAAGGAAGTCTTACTCGAGAACTACATGGAGTTCCAGATCGCCAAGACGAAGCGCGACAGGCTGGAGCACGGACTGCCGGCCGATTTCGAGGGCCTGCATGCGGCCGAGTGCGACGCTGCACCGAGCACCCACTTGGATATCGAGCCCAAGGAGGGGAAATTGCCCTGGTGGAGGGAAGAGGGGTGGCTACAACGGCAAGCACACGCGAGGCATGACGCACCAGAGCACGATGCAAGCCTGGGTTATGCGTGATCATCTTTTTCCAGCAGGTGTGCTGTGGAGAAGAATTAAAATAGGAGTTCTGGCGTTACGGCTGATGCTCAAGGCAGCGTAGGACACGAATCTGTGTCTACAGGGATACGGCAGCTTAACGATACCAATTCATTTACTGGCTTTCCACTAATATATATGCTCGCTCCAATCCTACGCCAATATGCATAACCCTTTCCGGTCGTGCTACCATCCCTGAACTCTGTCGAAATTCGACCAAGATCTGCTTCAATTGCTATGTAGCCATCGTCTGCATTTTTCCACGTTCATACTCTTCAGCCAGTCCAAGTGTCGTTGTTTAAGCTTTGCACCATGTCAGCGAACCCTTTACCTGGCCTTCCTCTTGTCGGCCTCGTTGTTCTTGAAAGGAAACCCACTCGTCCTCTTGTCCGCGCCCGTCTTCCGGCTAATCTTGCCGTTACTGCTGGCAAACAGAATACACCACAGCGCAACCAAGGCAAGGAATCCCGAGCCAAAGCTTCCCAGGCTGAACGAGGTGACGCCTGTCTCGGTCCACAGCCCGTAACAGTAGAAGGCGGTGGCGGTATGGAACAGAGCCGTGATGGTCAGGGTAGGGAGCGCGTAGGGGGCTTTGGGATCGGTGGTCTCTGTCGAAACACCTGCACAAATTAGATGAAATTCAAGTTGTTCTGAACATCACGAGACGAACCTTCTGCGAGACTACTCGAAAGCGGGACAGAGCCAGTGAGCAGAACGGTGAGCGCGCCCAGTGTGAGGAGAGTGAAGCCGAGCGTGCGGGAGAAGTAGACCTCGAGTGCTACAGATGGGTCAGTGGCTGACGATGTGGTTGTACCTTTTCGGAGAACCTACTCGTGGCCTCACGCACTTCCGGGGAGAGCAGCGCGGCGATCATCGTAGGGCTGGTGATGAGGGGTGCAGCCTGCGTGGCTTTGATACAGTCAGTTCATGTCAAAGAAGCTCGCGATGCTAGTACGTACCCAACCAAGCGGCAGTGCCGTAGCTGTAGAAGTAGTAGACCTGCGCAGACTCGTCAGCCCGTTGTCCCTTACAATCATTTCGAGAAAACACGTACGTCCATGTTGACAGAATAGGAGATTCAATGGAAATATGTGAGGTAATCGGTAATGTTCGAAGACTTGTGCAATTTGGTCAGATTGAAAGGGAGTAAAGGTAAGGAGGTTGTCGTGGTTCTGAAGTCTGGAATGTGTCTATGAGCGAAGCAAGACACTACGTCATGGTGATCCTCAAACGGGGCCGCTCCTTCCGGCAATCCACTAACGCGTGCGGGAACAGTGTGTTCGGCCGGTATTGCGACACGCGTAGTCGTGAACTTGGAAATGCAAATGAGATATGGGTAAATGTGACGAAATCTCCGAAAAGCCTATGCTTTTAAGACTCGTTTGTCTTATCTGCTTATATTTGAACTGACGCAGGTGTGATAAATCAAATCCTCTTGTAAATGCTCCATCAATTGTGGGCCGAGACCCTCGTACCTGAAGATCATGAAAAGTGGCTGCGCTGGAGAAGCGAAAACCCCGAGGACCCAATGTCCACTATCGATCTTTCTTGGTATGTCCAGCTGAACCGAGGTCTCTCAGAACAGCCTTCACAGGCCAAACAAAGCCTTCTTCAACACGGTCGGTTTGCCCCTCAACGATTGTGACGAGGTACTCGGTGAGAGCCATGCCAATGTACGCGCCAATGCCCGTGAAGATATGCCACCACCCATGCAGTTCAAAGAGAAAGCCCCAGGGAAGTCCGACGTAGTGCTTGACCTTGGTGACATAGCTGCAGAGGTGAAAGTCGATGCTCCAGAGGAAGTAGCCAAAGAGAAAGTTGGCTGGGACAGTGATTAGCGCGGGTGTGTCAGACATATATCCTGGATACCTACCAATACCGAAAGTAGCCAATTGGCCCATACGCTTCTTGTGCTCTTCATTTGTGACTCTTTCGCGAATCAACTTTCGCGTCTTTCGCACCACCATGATCACCATCACGGCGAAGACAATCTCGTGCACGTAGATCTCATCAGCCACGACGTGGTAGGTTGAAACAGGAATCAAAATTCCGAGGATGGCAATAGTGTAGTTTCTCCGTTGGGCTGGCGTAGCCTCAAAGCAAAGAAGCTGATGGAGTAATGCGCCGACAGCGAGAAACATGGACAGATCGTCACCTATGTCCGGTCAGCCCGATCTTTGGCATCTGTGAACTGTATTGGGTAGTCGAATCTGAAGCCCCGCGTAGAGATCGCATTGCGATTGCACGACGGTGCCCGAACTTCGACAAACGATAGCTTGAGAGCTTGGATTTGTGCGAAGTCCTTTGGTGCATCCGCATCACAACAAGGCGCCGCCAGTGGTTGAGTCCTCCTCTCTCGTGGCAGACGTGAGGCGAGAATGTAAAGAATTGGTGGTCACTTACCCATCTGGCTGTGATACTTAAGTGTAGCGTGGAACCACATTGAAAGCAGCCCAACGCCAATGAGCCCCCAGTATGGAAACGCTAGCGTAGACCAAAGCCCTCCATCTTTACGAGGCTGAACTCTGCGAAGACCGTGAATGCCGTAGATGACTGCAAGAGGTAAGTCACGGTGCACTTGCAATAGCGGGATGACTTGGGCAGTACCATAGATGGAATTGGTAATGGTATTGACAAATTCACCAATGTAAGGCGTGACGTTGTAATCCTGCACACAGTGAGCTCAGAGAAAGCGATCTGTCGTAGTTGTGTACGGACTTCTTCGCAAAAGCTACAAGGGGTTAGCGAGTCAGCCTCTGTATGCAACATGTCTCGGCGCGAATGCAGGTACCGCGCTGATCGTGGACATACTTGTGGTTCGAATTGGGTGCACCCCAGGCACCTGTGCCAGGCGATAGCGGGTAAGGCCAGCGGAATTGCATGCTGCTGGTATCGTACGAGCTGATACTACCGCGTGCGAGTGTTGGTGATTGCTCTCCGCAGTCTTTAGGGCGACGTTTTGTGAAGCTCGACAAGCTTTGACCAGAACTCCACGTGGCGCGCTAGGCTTACGAACACTGTCGTTCGCAATGATCCCATATTCCATATGGTCCTGTGGTGTTTGCGGTTCGCTCTTTTCAGGATAGTAACGAAGGAAGGCCTTGATGCTTCTGCGCCTCCAGGCACTTGTCATCTCCAGTGCGACTATGCGTCTTGACTCGTGTTAAGGTTCAATCCACCTCAGCAGTGCCAAATGCAGTTCCAAAACAAACAACAATGCGACCTTTACCCTTCTAAGATCGCTGAGGGGGGATTTCAAGCGTTTGGTAGCTCTTTTCGCGTTTCCTATGGTAAACGCTGTCGTGTTGCATCTTTGGACGTATGAATTTCGGTCGACATCAACACGCCCGGCCCTGAAGTCATCTTCAAAAGAAATACATAACGTCTTGTGAAAGATGTCAAAGGCTAGAGAAATCTTGATCGTAGTCCAAAAAACAATTGGTGTTCAGTGAACAAATGTGCTGTAACAACAAGCGCTGCCAGACTACCCCCGTGAACACAAACGTCAACGAAATCACAAAAATACAGGACCTTTTGCTGGCTACAGGTTGGATCAGCATACCATCAGTCTATTGGAGCTACATACTGCTTTTTTCGCTGGTTGAAACAACGTAAATGTGTATTTTTAGTCGAATTGAATGCCAGACCGGAATTTTTATTGATGTTGATAGACAAAAAGAGCTGCCCAGTCCAGACAATGCAGTGTACGCTTCGTCCGTCGCCCCTGAGTCTGTCTGATGGTGCACAGCAGCGTACAGTAGCCTGAGATGACTGATTTGCTCAGTGTGCATCCCATGGCAAAAAACGGGTCCTGCCGCGACTCGAACGCGGGGCCTCTCGCAAATTGCTTAGAACCCTAAGCGAGAATCATACCACTAGACCACAGGACCGTGTTATTCTTTGATGAAGAGAGGGAGCGTTTTGTGAAATATATTCAAAGTTCGAAAATGTAGGGACAGGACCAGTGAAGTTTGACAACAAGCTCGGAACGGCTCGTGCTCATAGTCAGGAAGTATTACTGAAAGTTTGAACGGCTTTGGCCAAGAAACGGCGGACTTGTGTGTTGCTGAAGTTTACCAGAGTCGGGCTCGTTGCCAACTTGGAAGAAAGAATAAATTTGGGCCACAACTCCAGAAACAAAACTCTGTATTTGAACACAAGCTCATTGTAGCAGTAGGATTGAACTTGAACCTTGATTGGTCCAATCAAAAGGAATCAAGGACCCTTGCTGGCCAGTGTAATATGTCATGACGCAAAAGCTCCAAACAGACTCTGGCGACACATGGGCTGCGCATTAATATGACCTTTCAAGCTACGTCAACACCAGCTATCTGGGCAATAATGTTTCTGAGTCCCTGGGCTGACGAATTTACCTAGCTTAGACCGTGTCAGGGGTTTAATGCACGGTCAGCGCTAATTCACAAACGCGTTAGGACGTGGACCTTTCTTCCTCTCCATGTTGATTCTTGTGCACGCGTATACGTACTGATTTTGTTCTTATGTTGCATGGCCTATATGTTGGTAGGCGCGGAGCCATGCGCTTCAGGCGTCGAGCGCTTAAGCACCAACCGTCTCAAGATCACAACAACATAAGGCTCGAAATCCCTCTTGATCTAGCCTGGATTCCAGCAGGTCAACGGTCGCGAGGCGGATATAGCAAAACAAGAACCCCTCCCCCAGGCACTGCCGCGTGATTTTTTTCGTTTACAGATTGATCTTGTATCGTGACGTAAAGACTTGCACCACCACCAATACCACCCCAGGAGTTGCGCAGCTAAACCACGTACATCCTACAACAGCTATTGCTTATCCATGTACATAGCCATCTACGCATATTCTCCTGATTGAAGAGGGTGTAGCACTTCTCTGCGCGCTTAGCAACATCATGCACCTAGCTTTATGTACGTGTAATATAAATCTTACCGTTGCCTCAGTCTGCTATGTATCTAAACTGAAATAACCTAGCGACTACGCATTGAGACTGTGATGACTAGTCATAAGTATTATCGCAGCTATTGACTGACGTTGTACGATGGATTGTGTGGGTAATGTTGGGGAACTGCTTGTTTTGGTATGCGGGCACTTTGGCCACCTAACGATTTGAGGTATCGTCAGCTGGGTACATTGGCTTCGCAACGGAACAGGGTAAGATTGGCCATGACTTCTCATCCTTGTCTGCTCTGTCTTTTCTTCGCAGCGTTCTAACGCCAACAAGTGCAGCTTGACAACAGGCACTGAACTCTACTGTGAAAGCTAACTAAATTTATAACAGCTATGAAGCAGTTGGCAGGACCTAAACGTAAGCCTTCCCTTGTCACCTGAGCGACAGGGCATCCACTCGGCTCACGGCAAGCACGCCTAGCTTTTTACCATTACCATCGATAGCAACGATATCTTCATAGCCGCCAAGTATTGAGAACTAAACCATCTCCGTGAAGCTTGACGTCGTCTCTCTTGGCTTGTCTTGATGAAAGTCGGCGCTTGCGCCGATGCAACTAATTACCCGATCTTGCGAATCCGAGACTCATCGACATTTTGCATACGAGCAGCCTGCCATGGCAATGACGGAATTGCGGGTCATTCTATATGAGCATTGCCGGTCCGTGCACATGGTGCGGCTCTTTCGATCTTGCCCGCAACCCACTTTGCACGTCGCCCACGTTGCACGTCGCAGAGGATACCTGTCCATCTCGAGCAAACAAAAACGAGTGCAGGAGACAACGTCGGCGCGCGAAGCGAGTGAAGGTCTAGTTATTTTCGGAAATCGGGACAGCGTAGCAAGGCGAGTGTAACATCGTAAGGAGGAGAGCCTGCCGCCGCGCCGTGATTTGCACAAGGAGCCAAGAGCCGTTTCATAGCTCCGGCATGTGCGCCACTGACGCTGCAGTTTCGGCTATCATACCGGACATGAGCGTGTAACTGTTCTCTCCAAACTTTGGGAGGCATTCAGAGTCGGGTTTGTAGAGATTCTGTGAACCTGCAAATGTGTGGATACTACAGATCTCCTCAATTTTCTGAACTGGTGCTAGAATATTGCTAGAGCCCTCCATACAATAGCAAGATCCGGGAGCTACTTTCTGCAACGTGAGAAGATCGGGTGAGGAGGCTCTGCAAAATCTTGCCTGGGAATCACTCCACCTCGATCAACCACCCCAGATGATCGATCCCCAGACATCAGACATTTTTGCGCCAATTGGAGTTAGCGCCAAGCGCAATCTGCCCACATGGACTCCAAAAACCGTCAAGAACCGCGTGTAAGACAGGTAGCTCTTGGCACGCTCGATCAGCGGAGTAGCTGCAATCTGGGGTTCGCGCGACACGGCGCGTCCACCGGAGCACTACCCTCAAGCGGGGAAAGAGCGATGCGTGCGTCCTTATATTGGACACTTTCTGCCCTGGGACTGCGGCTCGGCAGGTCAACCGACTTCTTCTTGACATCAACTTGAATCTCTACTGAGCCATCGTTGCCCGCCATGTTCGAGAAGTTCCCCAAGATCTACAATGTCTACTTCCTGGCATGTGTTGCCACGATGGGCGGTATGCTCTTTGGATTTGACATTTCCTCAATGAGCGCCATCATCGGAACTCGACAATATTTGTACGTTTGCTCCAGACTAACATCTACGGAGCTTCATCGCTAACATGTCGTAGAACATATTTCAACAACCCAGCCGGTATTGCCCAGGGTATCATTGGCGCTGCCCTTGCTCTTGGCTCAGTCATTGGCTCTCTCGCCGCGGGATACGTATCAGACAAAGTTGGTCGCCGCGATGCCCTGCTCTTCTCATGTATCTTCTGGCTCATTGGAACGGCCCTCCAAACTGCCACGACGGGACGAGGCATGCTGATCGGTGGGCGCGTTCTGAACGGGATTACAGTCGGTATCACATCGTCTCAGGTACCCGTCTACCTTGCCGAAGTTGCAAAGCACTCGCAGCGTGGCACGATCATCATCATTCAACAGCTGGCAATCGAATGGGGTATTCTCATCATGTACTTCATTGGATACGGCTGCTCGTTCATCCCTGGAGATTCGTCGTTTCGAACGGCCTGGTCCATGCAATTCGTACCATGTGTATTCTTCATGATTGGCCTGCCCTTCCTGCCTGAGTCGCCTCGCTGGCTTGCCATGAAGGACCGCACCGAGGAAGCCATCCACATTCTCGCAAACATCCAGGCTGGAGGCGATCTCAACGATCCTTACGTTATTGCCCAATACGAAGAGATTGTCACCGTACTCGCTGCTGAGCGCGCTGCGCTCAAGGGATGGAGGAAATTCGTCTACAACGGCATGTGGCGCCGAACTCTCGCTGGATTCTCCGTCCAGGCGTGGCAGCAACTGTCCGGGGCCAACGTGATGACATACTACGTTGTGTATATCTTTTACATGGCAAACCTCTCAGGCAACGTAAACCTTATTGCTGGAGGTGTCCAGTATGCTTTGTTCATCATCTTCTCCTCGATCATGTTCTTCTTCGTCGACAAGATTGGCCGAAGAACGCTCTTGGTCTATGGAGCTCTGGCGATGGCGTTCTGCCACTTCGTCGTTGGTGGTGTTATGGGGGCCCACGGTGTTAGCGTCCCCGAAGGTGTCAACGGCGATGCCAACATCGTAATCCGGGTTACTGGACCGCCTGCTCATACGGTCATCGCTTTCTCCTACCTTCTTATCATCATCTATGCTCTGACCCTTGCACCTATCTGTTGGATCTATGCTGCCGAAGTATGGTCTCTCGAGACTCGTGCTTATGGTATGGGTATTGCATCCATCGGTAACTGGCTGGTAAGTCAGATTCCACTCTGTACGTCCACCAACATACTGACATAGAACAGTTCAACTTTGCCATCGGCCTCTTCATCCCTCCTGCCTTCCGTAACATTACATACGGTCTTTTCTTGCTCTTCGGAGCATTTTGTGTGCTGGCCGCGATCCAATTCTGGTTCACCTACCCCGAGACTTGCGGCAAGACAATCGAGGAGATTGAAGTTCTCTTCAGCAACCAAGGACCCAGCGCATGGAAGACCAAGAAGGGTTCCGAGCGTCTCCACGAAGAGATCAGCGCCGTTGCTACTGCCCAAGCCAAGGGAGTGGCTCGCGATAGTATTGAACAGGTCATTGCCAAGGACAGTGTTCAGCACAACGAGAAAGCTGGTGCCGTTTGAATTTTCAAGAGCTGGAAAGATTTTTTCTGTACTTGCCTAGGATAATAATCAGTATGAATAGGTGTATTGTATTGCTGTCACAGTTAGGGAATGCCTCAAGAAGATACCCAACGCAAAAACTGCAACTCAGGCGTTTAATGCGAGTTCATAATATGATTAGTTTCCCCACAACACAAGACCTGGTATTGGAAAGGACATGCGGAGGATATAAGACATTCCTTACCACGGATTTTTGTCTAGGTCGATACTATCCAGATGAGGGCATGATGCATGAACATATATCTTATAGCGAGCGTTTGTTGATGATGGTTGAGAGGTAGCAAACCAACAGCCCTCCTCAATCAAAACGAAGATGCGCTCGTGGGTAAGATGATCGTGAACGCACATATGTTGTGAGGGGCGAAGTGCATGTTTGTGCATGGCTAGCAAGGCATCTCTGTAAAGAGAGACAGACGGCGATGATGCCTAGCTCCCCTGTAAGGGATCGACATAAGGCTGAGTAGTAGTACAAAGAAGCAAGGGACTTATATTTTGTTGAACCTAGGTCGAGACCATCCGGATGAGGGCACAATACATGCACATATACCTTGTGAGCGAGTGTTTGCTGACAATTGTTGAGTAGTAGCAAACAACAAAAGTTGGACGTCATTCATCGGTATCTGCCCCGTGCGTGAAACTCGGATACAGAAGGAACCTTCCATACTAGCACGGCGCTGGATGTGAAGGG